TCAGATGCCCTTTGGTTCAAGATCCAACTTATCACAAAAATCACTAGTTATGGTTAATGTGGAGGAAACTCAGCTTAATGAGTTAGTTCAGCGGTTTTGGATTATTGAGGAACCTTTCAAGCTCGAAAAATTTTGAGTAAAGACGAGATAGCCTGTGATGAGATTTTCATCAATTCACACTCTCAAGATTCAACCGGCAGGTATGTTGTACGGCTTTTTTTCAAGGTTAATCCTAAAACTCTTCCTGAACTACAAAGACAATTGTACCAATCAGCGTTGGCAGTTTTTCACCATTTAGAACGGAGGTTTGTGAGAGATAAGTCTCTACATGATGCTTATTCAGCATTCATGTCCGATTATATATCTTTGGGCCATATGAAGAATTTACCAGTTGACAAATTAGCAGCTTGTTATCTACCTCATCATGGAGTTTTTAAAAACAACAAGTTGCGAGTAGTTTTTAATAGATCAGCTTCTTGTAATTCTAGTTTCTCGCTAAATTCCTTTTTACACTCTGGAGAGAATTTGCTGCTTAGCTTATTTGATATTATTATCGGATGGAGATTTTACCAATTCGTCTTTACTACTGACATTGAGAAAATGTTCCGACAAGTTTTGGTAGCTCCTAAAGATCATAAGTATCAGGCCATTTTATGGAGACCTAATGCATCTGTACCTATTCGATCTTACGCCTTAAACACTGTTACATATGGTTTGACAAGTTCACCTTACTTAGCCACACGTGTTTTAACGCAACTTGCCAAGGATTACACTGAATCTCCTTTTATAGCTGCGTAAGTTCTTTGTGAAGACTTCTATGTAGATGTTTGTTTGTCTGGTAGCCATACGTTAGATGATGCTAAGATTAAATGTCGGCAACTCATTGAATTGTGTGAATTAGGTCAATTTCCACTGAGAAAATGGTCAGCCAATTCATCTGAGTTGATAGCTGAGTTACCAGTAAGCCACTTATCTAATAAGCCAAAGATCCTAAGTGATGATGAACCAATTAATTCTGTTTTAGGCTTACATTGGAATCCTAGTAGTGACGAGTTTCGATTTTGCGTTACGGTAAACTTTGACACACCCGTTCGCTGGACTAAACGTACTTTATTAGCGCAGTTGTCAAAATTTTTTGACCCTTTAGGATGGTTGGCTCCAACGATAAATTTTGCTAAAATACTATTTCAATCTCTTTGGTTGTTGCAAGTGTCTTGGGATGATTCTCTGTCACCTGATTTGGTTAAAACCTGGACTTATTGGTTAAATTAAACACCTTTGTTGAACGAAGTTCGAATACCTAGATGGAATCATTTTTCGCTAGATTGTGAATCTCTCGAACTTCATGGTTTTGCCGACGCTTCTAAAAACGCCTATGCAGCGGCTGTTTATTTACGCGTTGTACGCGAGGGTGAGATTTTTGTACATCTTCAATTAGCCAAAACGAAAGTAGCTCC